ATTGAAAATTAGCCCTAGGTTTTAAAAGTAATCGAAATTGAGCTATTTTTTATGTAAAAATAAAATTTGAATAAAAATACACTTAAAAGTCAGAATAAATTTCAGCATAATATATTGGAATTCGAATTTTTACATATGAGATTCCAGCATAATATGTTGAAGTTTCATAATATGCTGGAAGTTTATATGCAAGAACTTCATAATCCAATATATTATGTTGGAACTTTTCGTGTTTTAGCCAGAATATTTTTCTAGATTTTTCTTCGCATAAAATAGTGGCTATTTTTCAATAACTTTGCAAATGATAACTATTTTTCAATTATCAGTCCGAAAACTGACTAATCCATACTATTTGTACTACATAAAATTGTGAAAGTATAAATGCCCTCATAAGAAAATGTTGAGAAACGCCCAGATACGGTTAGAGGCCATAAAATGTATCAAAAATAGCTTGATTTATAACTGCTAATTGAAAATTAGACATAGTTTAAAAAGTAATCGAAATTTATCTAATTTTTCAAGTGAAAATAAAACCTGAACAAAAAAACATCCTTAAAATTTTGGAAAAGAAATCTGGCATAATACGCTAGATTTCAAAAAAAAAAAAATCATATGATATTCCGACATAATATGATGGAATTCATAACGTGCTGGATTTCCAATATAATATAATGAATTTATATGCAAAAATTCCATAATTCAGCATATTATGCTTAAACTTTTCGTATTTCAGCTGGAGTATTTTTGTCCATATTTTATCTCTTCAATAGTGGCTAATTTTCAATAACTTTACAAACACTGTCTATTTTTTAATAACCACCCATAAAGATATCTATGCCATGCTATTTTGACTAGTAAAATTAATATTTTGTGAAAATTAAAGAGAAAATAGTAGAAAAAATGCATAAAGACCCCATTCAACTTGTCCTGAAAAATTATTTACCCATCTAAACTTTACGGGTGTCCTAAGACCTCACTATTGTTAAAACAATTGTATTTATTTACTCCCTCCTATGCCATGGCCCAGTTATATTAATTTGAGTGGGAAACACGCGCTTCATTAGTAAGCCACGTAATTAACATGGACTTCACTCAACAAACTGTCTTTCCTCTATCTAATTTTCATAGCACATTATATATTTCTTTGTCATTTTCCTGTCTTTTCTCCTCAATTCAAGAATTCCAAATACCAATTCATTCCCCACTGAAAATTCAGGAAAAAGAATTACATAAAAACCAAGAAAAAAATAGTGTTCAATTCAATGGAAAAAATCTGGTTATGAGCGTGATGGAATATACAGATCACTTAGACCTCCTCTGTTCTTCCAAAGAATCAAAATCTTTCTATGGTCACTTTTCTCCTCATAAATATTTCATGAAAACCCAGCTCTTTTTTATGTTGATTCTGGTCAAACTTTGATTTTTTTCTTAATTCAAAATGTCTAGTAAATAAAAATAACAGTCTCTAAACGGGCCTTATTCACCTATCAGTTAAAAATTCCCAAATCGAAGAACCCTAATGCCCAACCATTGAAAATTCTTCTTGCCTCGCCAAAATCGATTTACCCGAACAAAATTGAAGTGACCAGTTGCAAAATCCTTCGATTTCATTATTTAGAATTCCTGACGAGTTGGAGGAAGACCTGTTCGAAGACAAAGTTCTTTGAAGAATCAAGATTAAACATTGAAGTTGAATTATCTGTGAAAAATTATTATGTTTGAAGGAGAAAGATTAACCTTTGCTTTCAAAGATCAAAACTTCAAAGAGCAATTTGATGCAATTTCGGCAGAATTTAGATGAAGAAGAAATTAGGGTTCTTCAATTGGGTTTGGTAAAATATTGGGGAAGAATGGATTACTGTTGAGGGTTATATTGAAGTTAAAAATTTAATTTTTATTCTTTTTTGGGTTTTTTAACGATTAAAATTGAGCAAAGACGCACTCAATTGCGTTGTCTAAGACGCACGCCTGACCAAGGCTTAGGAGGGAGTAAATAAATACAATTGTTTTAGCAATAGTGGGGTGTTAGGACACCCACAAAGTTTAGGTGTGAAAATAATTTTTCATGACAAGTTGAGTGGGGTCTTTATGCATTTTGGAGTTGATAAACTCGAGAACTACATTACGAGCCCGTTTGGACATAAAAAAAATTCATTTCATTTCGAAATCAGCGTTTGTTCATAAAATTTTCAAATTTCACTTGAAGATGCATTTTGAAAATTTTTAAAAAATTGAAAAACATTAAAAAGTTGTTTTTCAAAATTTTCACTCAAATCACTCATAAAACTTCAAAACAACCCAAACTGAAATTTATGCCCAAACACAACTCTAAATTTCAAATATCATTTTCACTTGAATTTTTTTTTCACCATTTTTGGAATTTTACAATTCTTATGTCCAAATGCCTACTGCGTTTCTACATTAAAGTGAAAATTTTAAACATCAGAACCGCCAAGGACACTGAGGCCTCATCTGTTTGCACTTAATAGAGGTCTGAATCTTAATCATTCAGATCTAAAACATTAAGTGTGTTTATTTTTAAAATTTGAATCTTAATTATTCATATTTTAATCATTAAGTGTGTTCATGGGCGAAGCTACATGTTATTAAGGGTGGTCCCTTCATCGGAAAATTACACTGCATATATAGGTAAATTATTAGATTTTAAAGGTATATAACAATATTGAACATTCTTTCTCGGATTTTTTTCTTCACTTTTTCAAGTTTGAATATCCTTGAGTAAATTCCTGGCTTCGCCAATAAGTATGTTTGTTTTTTTTACTTCACAACCACTTGATGGGTCTGAATAGGTCTGTATAATTAAGATCTATAACTGAGATTTAATTTCATTAAGATGTTATCATACATATTCATAATTAACTGTTGCCACCATCTATCATTATCAACTACCACGATGTCGCCGCCACCATCACCACCACACAACCATCATTCTCAATCATAGCCGCCACCATTATCGATTATCACCATCCACCATCCCCACCACCACTATTCTCAACCACAATCAACACTCATCCACCTTAACTACCACAACTAACCACTCTATCACTATCAACTACAACTGGTAATGTCCATCATTATAACCTACCACCACCCACTACTACATTCATTAATCATAACTGCCACCACCACTCGTCATTATTAACTATCACCGCCCACCACTACCATCCTCAATCATAACCGCCACCACTACCAATCACCACTAGCTACTACCCTAAACCAGCACCATCAATCAAAACTACCACCAACCACCGTCTCCAATCGACATTCACCCGTTAGCCATCACCACCAGCAACTATCATATTTAAAAAAAATATATATATTATTGATTGAATATTATACTAATTAGTATTTCATTTGAATTTTATATTTTTTAAATTTTCAAATAAAGATAAATTTTATACTTTCAGATGTTAAAAATCAAACATTCATAATCACTTATTATTTTTAATCTTGAAAAACAAATGAGGCTTGAGTCGCTCGGAGCAAAGAAAATTTACATTTCCAAATGGTGAACTGCTACATAGAATTATGTACATATTAGAATTAATCCTATAAATAAAAAACAAGCAAAAAAGTACATATTTGGGGCAAATTTCAATAGAATGATACTTTTTAATTGAACTAGACTATAAAAAAAAACAAATGAGATATTACTGGTATAAAATTAATAAATAAATAAATAATAATTAGTTCATAATTTTGAAGAATGAAAGAGTTTCCAGTCAAATATTTTTTTTTAATAATGATATTATCGGCAATTAAAAAAATAAAGCGAAATGGCTTCTTAGCCACTTAAACTTGTCGGGTTTTTTAAAGCCGATACATAAACTTATAACTTTCCCATTTGAACACTCGAACTCGTTTTTTTCATAACTAATAAACACATCTGACCATTGATCATGTGCGCGTGTATTACACATACACATACGTGTCCATCCAGTCAACAAATGACCAATGGATGTCTCACACGTAAGGGCGCGAAAAGTCAAACAACAACTCCTTCTCTTTGACTGCTTTAGCGTTCTTCTTCATCAACAATGGCTACCTGCTTTTCATTATTTTGTTTCACAGGTGGCTCAGCTTGATCATTTTTCATGTTACTCTTTCGTTCCTCTTCCTTCTTTTTTTCCAGCTTTTTTATTTCAAGGATTCAACGGTTAACAAGATAGTGCCCTAATTTCCTAAAATGTTTGCAGAATTTGGGTATGTTTGCAGACCTTCAATTTCAATCACCCGCTTATATAGAACAAAATTGTAATCTTCATCATTAGTGAAGCTGAGAAACACATTTAATTTATCATAAACTCCATTTTTTGCAGATCCCTTCAAAGGGAATTTTTTAGAGAATCTTGACCTATAATTCGGGGTCGGGTCTTCAGAAATCGACCAACAATTGTCCTCTTACATTGAGCCGCCATGATGACATAGTAGTCTCTTGTTTTGAAGATCACTGCCGGCATGCCGTTGTGTGTCGTCTTTCTAGCTTGGAATTTCAGAGAGAATCCGAAGGCCCTCCTAATTGAAACTTGAAATACCCTAGAATCTCTTCTTCTATACATAATGAAAACATGGAAGAAAACATTGCAGAATTAGGCCCTCCTAATTTCCCTACTTTCCACCATTTTCACGGTATGAAAAATGAAAAAAAAAATTAAAAATAGAGCTTTAGATTTTTAAAAATGGAGGAAGGGGATATTTTGTAATGTTGGGCGTTGGGAATGGGTTTTCATGCTCGTGTGCGTCGTGTTTCTCACGCGGGCTGCTGATTAGGACCAACTGACCCCACATGAGCATGGTCAATGGTCAAATGTGTTTATTAATTATGGAAAAAACGAGTTTGAGTGTTCAAATGAGAAAGTTATAAGTTTATCTATCGGCTTTAAAAAACCCGACAAGTTTAAGCGACCAGGAAGCATTTCGCCAAAAAACAATGATATCACCCTTAATTTCTTGTTGGGTCCTCAATTGTTCCAGAACATGTCAAAATACATCTAATAATTTACTGATATTTTCCTCCGACCAGATAATCACTCGATACATACTGGTAATGTGTGTGCAACAAGTTCGAGGGCTCTTCAACATGACGAAGAAGAGTCCTTGTTCCGTTCAGGCTTTATTCGACCTTTGTAAGCAGACTTTCACGCCGTCTGCAACTTCCCCACCTTCTTCTCAAGCCGTTCACAAACTTTATTCCCTTTTAGGTACTTATCTCTTTTACCCTTTTGCCTTTTGGAACTTGTTCATTTGCATCTCCATGTTTTCATTTTCATTTAATGTAAATTGCAACAATTACGAGCTCTGGGTTGTTTTTATTAAGGAAATAATTGAGGAACTAAAGTTATTTATGTACATAATGTAGATGTTAGATGTGGATTATAATGAAGAAAGTCGGTTAACTAGATGAATTTGATGCAGAACATATCTGCTTATCCTATTGAAGAATAATCAGCTTATTAGAGAGTAGAAGAAAAAAAATTAACGAAGGATTTACAAAATGTATGTATAACCGGCAACAGTTAACTCCTATTCCAATAAGGTAATGAACTTTTTTTTGCTGTTTGTATCATTACAAATGTGGAGCGTTTACAAAAAGGTAAAGGGGATTTTTGAAGTATTGAGAATGGAAATTCAGGGAAGGTATCGTATATGGTCTCAAGGGCTGCATTTTAAAAGCAACTTACAATTTTTTTTTCCAGATAAAATTGGTCCTGAAGAGGTTGGACTGAAAGATGAGAGCTTAGAGGATGAAAGAGGTCATGGTCTTTTTGGACTTAATGTCTTCAACAGGGTGGATCGCTGGGCTCAACCGATAACATATGTGGATATACATGAGGATCAAAACTTTACTGTAAGATATCGTGCTTATTTAGCTTCTATTTGCATGTGTATTTGTCAAATGCATTTATGTGGTCTCTCTTTGGATTGTTGTTTGATCACTCAAATATATTTGTGCTAGTGTCATCCTAGCCTTTGAAGATGTACTACAGAATGAAATGCAGAGCTGCATATCCTTACTATTTGTATGTCAACAGTGAGACGTTTTTGTGATCTCCACCATCCAACCTTTGAGAAATAATCCTACAAATTTGACTGGACACATGCAAGGATATTCTAGAATACACTTTGACTATAAAGCCTGAATCGATAGGTCTACATTTGTGGATAAAAAATAATTCTTCAAGTTATAGTGTAGCGTATTTGACTGCGTTATTTTCATCAGGATCAAACATGTGGTTTTACATTAAATGAAGCATTTCAAGCTTCTGTTATATGTAGAGTAACTCAATTGAAAATGATGTAATGCAGATGTGTATGTTTTGTTTCCCAACTTCTGCAGTCATTCCATTGCACGATCATCCTGGAATGACTGTACTGAGTAAAGTCCTCTATGGATCCTTGCACGTGAAAGGTTATGACTGGGTTGAGCCAGCTTGCATCAGGAAGAGTGTACAAATTGGTCATCCTACAGGTTAGATTTAAATGAATTTCAAGTGTTCAAGTGCTTCTAAAGTCGCTTTTTATTAATTTAAGGTGCCAAAGAAATAATATTCACATATTAATCCCAAAAAAACAATATCACATTCTTTTCATTAGAGTACCCACTAAGCAAATTTCAGAGAATCTGAAAAATTTTGGTGGCGATGATAAAGTGGCCAGAAGTCACTTCATTGATATGGTATCACGACCATTAGCTATAGATAAATAAACCTTTCTAAGCAGCGCAGGCAAAACCAATAATGTAAATATGTTGCCTTACAATATGTTGAAAGCTTTTAGAGGCAGTTGAATTTCCATATGGTCCTGGAATTGTATGATCAAAATTTTGAAAATGGAAGATGTCCAAATATCGGTGGATTTGCATTCAAAGATTTTCAGGCTATGATTGAGTGTTTCTTTTACAAATCACATTGGGTATAAAGAGCCAGAAAGGAAAAAGAGTAGGAAAGAAGCACTTTGTTGGGTGCGTTGGATCCTGTAAGACAAGCGAGCTTTGTACCCTTAAATTAAAACATGTGGACGCAAAATTACAAATCTGTCTGGCACTCATATTTGACAGTTTGTCAACTCGACCATGTCTGTTATGGTCCTTCAGTGGCTGTTATGATGATCGCTTGAAAAATTATCAGGCACCATGGAGTTACTTAGATGTCCTCTTTCTTTCAGGCGTCATCGTGATAAGAGATCAACCTTTTACTTCGTAATGACTAAAACGTTCCTATTAGAGCTATGTTAGTTATAACTTCATGATAAGTCGGAAGAATACGGAATATGACAACAAGGCTTGTCTAGCAAAGTACAATTACCATAGACACATGGCATGTGGGAAGTGTAGGCAGCTGAAGCTGTTTCATAGTGAATGTTATCCAGTGTTCCAAATGAATGCCAACCCGGGTGAATACCTGAGATTCTTATGTTGAGGATTGGCTTTTTATTAAGAATCACCTTTAGATTTCTATGGATGAAATTTAGGTTGGCAGCTCGTTGATTTTAGTAAGCAAGAGTATCTCATTATGAGCTCAATTAATTTGTAATGATCTATGTGCTAGTACTCGATCTATTTCAATTTGGGATTAGTCAAGCTTGAGCCCAGTAGCTTGTGAGCTAAGCTGAACTGAGTCGAGTCCTTTTGAGGTCCTACTTTGTTCAGCTTGTTTGTTATAGCAGTTTATTACATTGTCCTATTTGATAATGCTTTCCTCTGTATTTTATTATCGTATATTCTTTTATTGACCATAGATAGGAAGGTATGGAGGTTGAGAATAAAGATAAAGGGTTAGAATAGGTAGCCGTGCGTTGTTTGTCGTATCCCTTGACTTCTGTTATTACTTGTTGTTGCTTTCGTTTGGCTTTCTGATTACAGTACCTACTGTCAGTTTTGTATTTTTGCTTGGTTTTCTGATTGGTATGCTTGTTGTTGTCCTTTTACCTTTCCTAAGTTGAGGGTCTACCGGAAACAACCTCTCTGCTTCTTGAAGGTGGGGGTAAGGTCTGCGTACACTCTACCCTTCCCAGACCCCACTTGAGGGATTACACTGGGTTTGTTGTTGTTGTGGTTGTATATTCTTTTACTGATTAAGATGTTTGCACTTAAATTATTGACTATCTCATTGTAGAAATGCTTTTCACATCTCTGCTTAGTCAACCAATATCCTCATCAAAATCAACATTCACCAGCACTGTATTAGGCTCTCGGAATCATAGCACGCTAGATGCAGTTGCTTGTTGTTTTGTTATTTTGTGTATATATTGCTAATTCAAAGTGAAATAGTATCTCTGACATTTTCTTCTGGTGTAATACCTCCAATGCTATGCGAAAAGTTTGCTGATTTTGATAGTTATAACTATCTTATTTTCCCAACTTTACTGCTTGTGAATCCTTATTATTTACTGCACAGATGAAAAAGTATTAAGAAAAGGAAACATGATGCATTATTTGACAGTGAGACTAGCCAGGTTGGCGGTTGATAAGGTCATAACGGCACCACATAGTACATCTGTTTTGTATCCCAAGAGTGGAGGGAATCTGCATTGTTTTACTGCCATTACACCTTGTGCGGTTCTGGATATTCTTGCTCCTCCTTATCTTGAAGCAGCTGGCAGAAGATGTACCTACTACCATGATTATCCTTATTCCAGCTTTGGTTAGTGTCTATCCTCTTTCTGTTTGAAGCCTTGTCTTTCTCAAGGATTTCTTAGCTATTTCACATTGGAGTCAGATGCACTCAGTTTGTTCTACTGTTGTATTGACATTAACATGTCATGCATTTGCAGCAAATGGGGATGAAATTGTTGGTAATGGAAAAGAACAAGACTATGCGTGGCTTGCTGTGGTTGATACACCAGAGGATCTGTACATGCGCCCGGGAAGGTACATGGGTCCAGCCATCCAAAGGTAGCAGTATACATCTTTATCCTGCAATCGATTCGTTGTGGAGTGCGGATGTTCATGGTCCTTTAACTGTGACCCGACTAAGANGGGGGGTGTCAAAGGCTGCTGTATCATGTTACTAGAATCTTGAAAGTGCTACAGTATTATGTCTTAGTTTAGCCTTCGCCATTGTATATCAGAGTTGATATTAGTTCCAGAAGATCATGATCTGCTCCCCCATGTCCACAAAGTATTTGCCACGATATAAATTTTTGAGCCCTTGTAATTTGTTTTTCCCTGTTCCTCTTACCCTAGAACAAAATAATTTATCTACACATAATTCAAGATGTTTCAATCACTCCAGTGTTTGTCAATACGCCTTTTGTCTTAGGAGTGTGGAAATTGATGGTGCTAAATTTTGAACCCAGATCTACTACTGTAGTGCATTCACTTGTTACGCTCAAGTTGGTTTTATCAGCGTTACTGCAAGCGTTCAACATTCTACATTATAAATTAATAGCATCCTGTACAATGCACTCAAGTTTCCAAGCCTTGCTTTACTTCAGCTGGGAACTGTTATGGAAAAGACTAATCACTGATAGATGGTCGCTTTTTATGTATGTAGTTCTTAACCCACATTTCCGGCATTATCATAGTCAGTTTTTACAGAGCCGACTCCAGCAAAACTGTAGCACTATAGCCTTTGCTAATTTGATTGTAGTTCTGGTTGGTCACTTTGTGATGTTTAGTTTAAATGTGATTATATGATGGTACTGTGTCTCTAGTAACATCTGGAGAACCGATATATAAAAATGGCTTCATTGTACTTTATCAAGATATTGTTCGTCCAAACCCTGAAGAATTCATTAACACAATAATTACTGATTTGACTTGATATCAGGCCTCCCCCAACTAGACAAATATTGTCATGACATCCATAACAAAAAGGAGGGCCTTATTATTTTGATAAAGAGAACACTCCTGCTGGAGACAGGGAATTCCATTTTGGAAACTAAAAGTAAGACTTGTTTATTTTTCGAAAACAACTGCATGAAATGTTGATCAGAAGTAGCTTCTAATGCCTACCAGATCCTCCTCGAATACATATATCTAAACAACAACGCCGATTGAGTATACAAAAAGGAAAACTTTAATGGATTCTCCCTACTTTAGTTTTCATCTATTGTAGGTGTGGCGCGAAGAATGTTTCAGTAATTTAGCTTTTGATGCTTTCTCATGGAGATCTGAAAGATTCACCAGCATAGCGAACATCTCCAAGTTCCTCTTCGATACGCAGAAGCTGCAATCAGTATAACGAGTTTAGCCACTCTAACAAGCAGGAAATAATCTTTTTTTCTGAAAAGAAGTTATCAACAAACACAGAGCTAGTGCAAAGAAAACATAATGGGACAGACATCAGACATCAATAAAATCCAGTTGAAATGCTTCGAGGTTTTTTTTTTTTTTTTTTTTATCCAGGGAGGAAGATTAAACGACTTCAGTATAACTTTACAATCTGCTATATGTAACTATCCACATCGAAAGCTCATTAACTTCCAAGCAGTGACAAGACTGAGTAGTAAAATTGCTAACAGCAGGATGAATAAAAGTTGTTTTTTTGTTTCTGATCATGAATAGAAAATAGGGGGAAAGTAATCCTCACCTAACTCGCTCTACAAATGTTGGTTAGCAAAACTCTAGTAAAAGAGTAAATAATACTAATTTGTTTGAGCACGGGAGGGATAGAGAAGGAATACTAAATGAGATGATGAGATAACAGTAGCAATTACAAAAACAAGAAGAGCAATGGCAACAATTTAGAAATAAGAAGACAGAAACAAAGAAAGAACGGTAATTAAAGTGTTCCATCTTAACCTGGTTGTATTTTGCCAGCCGCTCACTCCGACAGGGTGCTCCCGTCTTGATCTGCATTAAAGGGAGAATTTAAAAGAATATTAATATGCTGCCGATGCATAAAAGAGTGGAGAAGATTAACCAATGTTAACAGCTGGAAGTCAAGAGTACCTGTCCACTGGCCAAACCAACAGACAAATCTGCGATAAAATTATCCTCTGTTTCACCGCTTCGGTGACTGACCATAACACCCCAGCCCGCAGCTTTGGAGTCTAGTGCTGCTTGAATGGATTCTGTCACTGTACCAATCTGGTTAACCTGCAATTTGAAAAATGATGAGCCAAGCCCCTCGCTACCATGTGTCATTCATATATCAAACAGCTGAGGAAGTCCATCAAAGTGAATATCCATGCACTTCTACAAGCTGACTGAGGTTTTAAACCTGTCGACCATTCAGCTGCTTAAGTTCCACTACAGATGGCTAAAAGTTCATTCAAGAGAGCTCTACCGTCTTTAACACCTAACCTTATAGGAGGGATTTATGTACATCAATGCAGTGCTTTTGTCTTGCAGGACTGGACCCATGACAACGTATAAATTGCATTTTCTATGTCTGAAATTTCTCCCTCTAGCCCATTAAAGTTATAGTATAATTGAAATAGAACTATACATGAAAACAAAGTGTACTGCATGTGAGCTCTGACGAGTCAAGTGCTTAAAGTAGCATTGAAAAGAGGGAACCCAGATTAATCAAACGGTATAAAAAATGTGTCAACATCAAGTGTTTAACTATATTTGAGACATAAGCTGTGAAGTATACCATCTATGACATATGCATTCATTCAAAAAGGTTCATAACATAATACTATGGTATTGTTAAGCCGAGATCTTTCTAGGACAACCCTTATTAGTTAAATACTCTAAGCATTTTTCTGGCAGGAAAAGACTAGGCTTTTCCGGAGAAACGTACCAAATTAAGCACCACTGTTTTAAGGCTCTTCCTGTTAATTTATTAAAGGCTATTTTGCTTATATGCCGAGGATCAACTCAAAGGTACTGTACTTTACAGGTAACATAACCTCATTTTGTTTCTTTAATTTANGTACCTTACAGGTAACATAACCTCATTTTGCTTCTTTAATTTACGTACATTGTAAGTTTTATACCTTTGTGCGACTAAGCATTTGAAAAGAGAAAGAAGCCTACTGATGGAACAAGGCAGCTTTGCTACAGAGATTTGTATGTTGCTTTAAGGCATAAGCCCTTACCTTCAACAACAATGCATTGCATGCCTTTTTCTGAATTGCTTCAGCAATTCTCTTTGGATTAGTCACCAACAAATCATCACCAACAAGCTGAATATCAACTGAAGATTGTAGTGATGCCCATGAGCTCCAATCATCTTGGTCAAATGGATCTTCAATAGATACAATAGGAAATTCTTTGACAAACTCCTTATAGAGTTCACAGAGGCTCTGAGCACTAAGTACATGAGCTCCATCATTTGGTTGATTCTTGAAATTGAGATCATATTTCGCATCTTTTGTCAAGAACTCAGATGCTGCTACGTCCATGCCAATTTTAATCTGCACCAATCTTTCAATGAGCAAGTCCATAACTTCTGAAAGTAAAATAATGTAATAAAACTGAAAGGCCAAAAAGAATGCCGACCTTTCCAATGTAACCGGCCTTCTCAATTGCATCCATAAGCAATACTAGCCCTTCCCTGTTATCCTGGACATTCGGAGCGAATCCACCTTCATCACCAACATTGCATGCATCTTGCCCATACTTAGCTTTGATAATTCCCTTTAGAGTGTGGTAGACTGTTCTCCCATCAAGCGTGGACAGTTAAATACCATGTATAAAGATATTCATTACAAGTTTGCAGAACACATAATATGCAAAGGTTACAGGTCATGGAGAAGAACAGCTATAGGTACTTCAGGACAAAGCAGCATTTTAATGCTCAGAATAAGAAGTTTAGCTACTGTTTTACTTCATCTAATGCAGATTTACTGAAACCAACACTAATTTGTTAAAGTGAGACAGAGATAGCGATCAAGAAAGAGGAAGCAATTTTCTATTTACTCCTTTTTCTTCAATTCTGATTCCAGAGGACGGGAGCGAACAGATTTCTCACCTTCACTACCCATACAAAGTGCCTCAGCAAATGTTGACGCTCCAACAGGTAGAATCATAAACTCTTGCATAGCCAAATTGTTACCAGCATGGCTCCCTCCATTTATCACATTGAACGCTGGAACTGGCATTACAAGTTCTTTGGTTCCAGATATTTCTTGAATGTGTTTATACAAAGGTACTGCTTTTGCTCCAGCGCCAGCTCTACACACACTGAGAGAAACTCCAAGAATGGCATTAGCCCCAAGTTTTGATTTATTAGGAGTTCCATCAATCTCCAGCATAACAGCGTCAACGTCAGCCTGGTTCCTTCACAAGAAGAAATGAAAATTGTCATACTTGGATGGAACAATGTTGAGAAATAAAATTGCAAGCATATTAATTGCTCACCTCGTCCTAGTTTATATGACACTTTTTTCCATTTTGGGATGCCAAAAGGTTTGACACTTTTCCTTTAATATATTATATATACTATACAATTTTCACAACTTTTAAGAAATTTAATTCAATTGATTATTCAAAGACTAAAGTAATGTGTTATTTTCATTATCAAACTAACTTCTCAACTATCATTTTAGTATACTTTCTTTCACTACCACTACTATATCAATTAGAGCAAATTAACAATTAAATTTTATGCGGTCAGTTCCATCATAGATAACGAAATAAAAATACACCAAGGCAGCTATTTCCTATGGCATTCATTATTAGGAAATATAGTAGTACCATACAAGCAATAGCACTACTTTGAGTTGCCATGGTGTGTAATATGTAGCAGTTATCTACTTAGTTTCTACCTCAACTTTAACCAAGCTAAGATCAGCAAATTTTATTATTAGTAGCCAAAATCATATGTGCAGCTACCTAATAAAGACCAGTAGTAAAATGTACATTTACTCAGCTCCTTTCATTATATGTTTAGAGCACTAGAGCAATCAGAATGAAGGTCCTTAGCAAGGGGTTGTGTACGATCCATTACTGTATGTAATACACTTGGTTCGTTAAAAAATTTCAGTGCATGACAAGAAAACTACGATTTTGTGAAAGATTTAAGTTACATAATAAATTTTTCACACCATAAGCATAATTTAACCGGATGAATTACCATTTTAGGTAACTATCAATGCTATTGACTATAGTAAGCTACAATTAAGTGATCTTATGGCGTAAATATTTTTAAGGCAGTGCATAGAACTTAAAGTCAGTTGTAATATACAAATTGAAAGCGGATACTAGGTGGAAGATTGAGCATTTTACTTTATAAGCAAACAATAAGAAGGAAACGAAAATTTTAAGAAATAAGAAAATAAACACTACTAGCAATATTAGTTACCTGACATCAACACCAACAAGTTTGGGGCCCAAGAATTCATTAATATTTTTAACAGCATTGAGGACTCCTTTACCCCCATACACGCTCTTGTCACCATCTCTAAGCTCTAGAGCCTCGTAGATCCCGGTGGAAGCTCCACTTGGCACCGCCGATCGATAAAGAAGATCATCGCCGGTAACCAGATCAACCTCGACGGTAGGATTGCCCCTGCTGTCTATGATCTGCCTCGCCTTGACAGATTTCACCTTAGAGGAGGCCTTGGCTGCAGTGGCCGACGGAGCAGCGGCGACGGAGCAGCGGACAGTGGACGGCCGATATTGAATCTTCTGGGAGGCAGGTAATGAGAAAAGCGGCGCTTGTGATTTGGGTTTGGTGGAAAAAAAGGGCTTAGAGAGCTGAGCTGGAGCTAAAGCCATTTTGTATGTATATATGTATGTAAAAATGCAGAAAGAGAGGAGAGTTGATTTCAGGTGAAGAGAGTTAAGGGTTTTGGGGGTTATTTAAATGGAGAAAAAGGTGTTTATAGGAAAGTCCGCCGAAGGGCGAAGAAAGCACAGAGTTTGGTGTTGAAAATGGTTTCAAGGGTGGTGGTTGGTGCTTTGGAGGAGACGTTATAGTTATAGTAGTAGTAGAATACAAATTTCATTTTATGACTTGAAAGGGTTGCATGCTAACAATCCCACTTCCAACCGATAGGTTGTTTGACTTGAAAGGCCATTGGGTAGGTAGGCATGTAAAAATTTCACCTTCTTATACGTCCCTCGTTTAATCTATACTTATTTTTTAAAATTTTAATTTGTACTCACTTTTTAAATAACTTTCGTCATCTTTCTCCTCCTGCTTCTCCTCCTTTGTTTTCTTCTTCTTCTTCTTCTTTTCTTCTGTTGCTGTCGGTGCTGCTATGAAACTTCAGTTCATAGGTTACACTCTTCACCTGAGCTTGATGATTTAATTTTCAGTCCAAATTTGGAAGTTTATATATAACTATGGATTAGAATCCATAGTTATGAGTTTTAACTATATATTAGATCATATTACTTGAAATCATATAAAGTACGCTGATGGCTACAAACATGTGTTGAATTTTCAGAGTACTTCATGATTTTGTCCTTATATTTAACTTATGGTAAGATTGTTGACGTATATTGAGAGCACGGGTTGTGCAGCTAAAACGTGCTTAAGTTCAGCAAATATAGAACAAAACTTCAGCTAAAACATGCTAAAGTTCAGCAAAAATAGAGAACAAAACTCTAGCTACTAGAATGTTTAAGTTCAACAATTACAAACAAAAACTTCAGTAAATAGAGAACAAAACTTCAGCTACTAGAATGCTTAAGTTCAGCAATTACAAAGAAAAACTTCAGCAAATAGAGAACAAAACTTTAGCTACTAGAATGTTTAAGTTTAGCAATTACAAACAAAAATTTCAGCAAATAGAAAACAACACTTCAGCTACTAGAATATTAAATTCAACAATTACAAAAAAAAAAAAAAAAACTCCAGCCAACACTTGGTTCAACAATTTGCTACTTCAGGCCCGTCTACTAGAATGTTGAAGTTTGCGTGATTGTCTTTGCTACTTCTGGCTCGTATGCATGAAGTTACGCGAAAAGTGGGTACGCTTGCAATTTTTTTTGTAAAACGGGTATAAGTTAAAACATGATCCAAAAAGCGGGTATAGATGCAAATGGAAGCGTAAAGTACAGTGTTTGGTATTTCCTATTGGAATATTTGGGCACCAAATCAACCTTTGACGGGCAAAAAAAAGAAGAGAATTCGGGTGTGTTTGGTAGGAAAGAAAATATTTTTCATGAAAAATGTTTTGCTAAAAAATATTTTCAATGAGTGATTTTATCACTTATTTTTCCTTGTTTGATTGGTGAGCGAATTTTTTGGAATTTTTTTTTAGTGTTTGGTTAGAGAGTAGAAAATATTTTTTTATGCTGCTCTACTCACCCCCTTCCCCCAAGTCCCCATGTTTTCTTGCTCCCCCCACCCCCCCACCAAATACTCAACCTCTATTTTCTTTAACAATTTAATTATTCTTCTAAAAATTCTCATAAACCCAAAGGATCTAATGTGCCACTTTACTTTTTAACGCAAACAACGTTGAAATTTTTGATTCATAACTATAAAAAAAAATACTCTTTTTTTGGTTGAAAAAGAAAGTACTCTTTCTACGGCATGAAAATAAAGTAATCATTTTATTGAAATAAATGAAAATACTTTTTCTAAATCATGAAAAGAAAATACTCATTTTGTTGAAATGAAAGAAAATACTTTTTTCTACGTCATGAAAAGAATATACTTTTTTGATAAAATAAAAAAAATACTTTTTTGTATCATGAAAAGAAAATATTCATTTGTTGAAATGANTACGTAAGTGGGGTGGAGGGTAGGTTGGTGGGGATGGGGAATAGGGTGGGGAAGGTTGAAAAAAAAATTGGAAAATGTTTTCCCTTCTCTTGATAGGGAAAATATTTTCCTCCAATTAGAGGAAAATAAGTTCATGAGGAAAATATTTTCCAAAACATTTAAGCCAACCAAACATGGAAAAATTGAAAAATATTTTTCGGAAAATATTTTCCTTCGTATCAAATACACCCTTCATGTCAAATTGTTTAAAACTAACCTTTTGAATTTAATTTCGTTAGTCATTATCATTATTAGTTATTACTGATCATCCTTTGAGAATTAGGAAGCCTTTCAATTATAAATGATTCTTTTCTTTTTTTACAACATAAGTGATTCGTTAATTATTAATACATTTTGTACATTACAATAAATTTCGGTGATGAATTGAATATTTTTAAAAAATTAAATTATCCGACAGTTAGGATCGAAATAATCATATGTCATTTGAAAGGTAATAAGGATAACAAAAAAAAATACACCAAAAGAGACACAAATATTTAACGTAATTTCGGTCAATTAACCTACGTCCACAGGTGGATTCACTTTATAAAATAGAGTACAAAATATCTAGAGATCACAACCTCACAAAAAAAAAAAAAAAAAAAAAAAAAACGCAAGTGGTAGGGTAATACTTGTCACAAAAATTCTCCTCCTCTCTTATAACTATATTATGGATGGAATGAGAATGAAGGATCTTTAATTTATAGAAATCAAAATATTTTCCTTTAAAAAAAGAACAAGCCATATATGAAAAAAAATTTAGTATTTTTTTCTTTTTGTAAAAGAAAAAAATTAATTATAATAAATATGTTGCCTTTTCTTTAAGACATAGAAAAACTAAATATGGTAAGAAAATCAGGACAAACACGTAATATTTGGGCTAATTGAAACTACTTGGGGGCTTTTGAATTTTGTCAATTTTTTAAAAAATGACATGGATAAAAGTTTTTTTAAAAAAATTCTCCTTCCATCATAGTGATGAAAATGCGTTTTTATAATTATAAAAAATAATTAAGAATATAACAAATTACTCCCTCGGCTCATTTTGTGACAATATTACTATTATGAGTTTAAAATTTTTATATTACACACTTTTTAAACTTTTTTCCTTAAATATATTTATTAACTATGAAAAGTATGATTGTAATGCATTTTATGTGAAATTTTATTTCAAAATCACAACGAAAACTAGACATATTGACCATGAGCCTTACTATTCTTTTTGAGAAGGATAAAGCAAATCAATCGTCAAACGTATAAAATTTAGAAGATAAACTATGCTCGAGAATTGTAGTGGCGACAAACATTAATATTTATACCTCAAGATCTATAGAAAACTTAAGAGAAGACCATATATAAGTTGAATTTTGACCTAGAAAAATATTAGAAATTCTTAGTCTAATAAAATTAATTAATTTGTACAGTCTACTCTCTCTATACGTTACTGTTTGGATAGAATTAAGAAACTGATTAGAATCTAATTATCGTGCTGTCCCCGACCCTTCTTCTGAGCTATAGAAAGGATTATTATCAAATATCCTACTAAATCCTCTTGAATTTTTGTAACCCATTGGTTTAAGAACAATCTGATCGATTGGGACACAATCAGGGGCGGATTTAGGGGGGGTGAACCCCCTTCGCCGAAAAAATACACTGTATATATAAGGCAAAATCTGTTTTTTACCTCTATATATTAAGTTTTGAACCCTTTCTAACACAATCCAAAAGTGTAGTTTAGTGGTCAAGGGGGTTCAAAATCTACATAAGGTCATGAGTTCAATTTCCACTAAATACAATTTTTTTTTTGAACCCCCNCCAGGGGCGGATTTAGGGGGCGCAAGGGGGTTCACCCGAACCCCCTTCGCCGAAAAAATACACTGTATATATAAGGCAAAATCTGTTTTTTACCTCTATATATTAAGTTTTGAACCCTTTCTAACACAATCCAAAAGTGTAGTTTAGTGGTCAAGGGGGTTCAAAATCTACATAAGGTCATGAGTTCAATTTCCACTAAATACAATTTTTTTTTTGAACCCCCTTCGTGGAGATCCTGCCTCCGCCACTGGACACAATAAAGTGTTACGTGGCAGCTCTCATAAGCAGGAAAAACCATCCAAATCCGACCAACGACCCGGACCCGGACCCGTTCTTTAGTGCATTTTCGTATATATCTAAAACATGAGGGGTAAATATGAAGAAAATAATGCATGCGTATTAACCGGTGGCTGCGGAAACAATTGGAACTTTTTCAGCGGATCGGAGACTTCCTTCCGCCGCCTCCTTTTCCGGCCATTTTGTTCTCATTAATTATTCTCAAATTATCTACTCAACGAGGACAAAGAGTAGTAGTACTAGCTATCAGTTCTTTCTCACTTTTGAGATTCATTAGTTCATCCAAAAAAGAAAGGAGTTATGGTCCAATTAAGCAACTCCATAATCATATTTAATTTGGTAACTCTAGGGTTTTCTCTTGTATGCCTATGGCCGTTAGACGATGAATTTCCTTGCCGAAAACTATTGCAGACGCCTTTACTGATACTGGGAGCTTCTCTACTGGTTGTTTCGCTGTTGGGATTTGTTGGGTTCGGGTTGCGAGTTACATTTTTCATGTGGCTATATTTGTTCTTGTTGTCCCCACTTCCAACCGAGAGGTTGTGAGTTCGAGTCTCCCAAAGAGCAAGGTGAGAAGTTCTTGGAGTGAAGCATGCCGGAGTCTATTTGAAAACAGTCTCTCTACCCTAGGGTAGGGGTAAGGTCTGCGTACACACTACCCTCAAATATTAGAACCAAATCAAACCAATTAAGTCGGTTTTTTTCGATTCGGTTTATGTCGATTTTTCGGGTATTTGTCGGTTTTTTCTTAAATATAAAACATACACTACCAAACACATATTCCGGCGACCACATTTTCAATGTAACACTATCAAATCAATT